TAATCATTTCCAGCTTTGCTATTTTTCACTTGTGTGGCTTGGGCTCATGCCGTTCCCAACATCTGGGTCAAACCACGAACCCCAGGGAGAAACTCACACGTGCTTGTGGCCACATCCCTGGCTTGGGGTGTCTCCCTGGGAACCGGTGGGCTGGGCCCTCCAGCTGTGTACGCACATCCCACCACCCTCCTTCCCAAAGCAGGGCTCAGCTTCCGCCCAGCCGGCAGCTTCCGCCCAGCCTGTGACAACACAAGGGCACTTTTGTGCTTCTGTTCCTTTCTCTTCAGCTTTACAACGGTCATTATATTGTGGAAAAGCCCCGAAGCCATGTCCCCACCGGTGATGACCCCTTGGCTGGACAGAATGTGATGGCCAGTGTGCCTGGGGTACTTTCTCCTTTCTGACACCAAGGGACTATTTTGAGAACAGGGAGGTGGTCAGGCTCTGAGCCTGACCTGTGCTCACTTTAGTCATTTGAAGAAACCTGGCTTCCTTGGCTGGCCTCAGGGTCCGCTTGACCAGGCCACAGAACGTCAGTCTGAGGAATGATTCCAAGTGGACTGTTCAGAGGTAACATAAAAAATTAAGCTAATGCTAAACCCTCGTTTCCTTAAAGATGGGGAGAAGGGAAGGATACGCGATAGTTAACAGAAAACCTAGGCTAGGCCTGCAGAAGGATGGGCGTGAGTGCATCACCTTCACACCGACTTCCTGCCCAGGAGGCTGGATTTTCAGCACAGGCTGAGCGGAGCCTGCAGGTGTGAACATTGGACTGTGCAATGGGGGTGCGGGGCTCCCCGACTTATTCCTGCTTCTGGTCCCAGGGAGGCGCCAATAGGGACGTCAGGAACATCTGGCTTTGGCAGAGGATGACTGTCTCCAGGGAATCTCCCTGCGGCAGGAGGCCAAGTGCAGGGATCTGAGGGACCATGACCTTAATGGAAGCTGCACAGAAGAAGGGCGGGGTCCGCAGGGCAGGAGGGGTGCAGAGAGGAGGCCTAGGGAGCCTCGTGAGCTCCCTCGAGCTCTCTGAGGCTCCCCGCACCCTCTCTCCCTGTCACTTGGCGGGACTGCAGGGGCCGTGCACTCTGGGACTTGGCCCAGCACTGTGTTCTGCCCTGTGTCCCCGAGGAGGAATGCAAGCCAGGGATGACAGCCTGGCCCTGAGCACGCTGCTCTCGGAAGCGCGGCTCAGTGTAGTTTACCCACCAGAGCTGAGCTAAGATGACACCCTACACCCGGCTCCTAGGTCCTCCCGCCCAGGGCCCATGTCCCCGGGGACCATCGCAAGGGAGGCACATGTGGGGCCCGTGCATCTGGGCTCCGGGCATTTCTTAAAGCCCCGGCCAACATTAACAAGAGGGAAGAGATGGGTGATGAGGCTGGAAAACGGAGGAAAAACACAGAACTTTAAGACAGTTCAACCTAAAACATGCAAGTTACCGAGAGAAAGGTGACTATTGACAGTGGGGTGTTAGACCAGAACACTGAGGAATGAACCAGAACCCATGCTACACGTACAACGAAGATATTCCAAATACAACCTAAAAATCCCCTTTATCTGGTACAGTTCAGGCCAGTTATTTTGAATTTGAAGCATTTAACACTGAACACAAGTGAAAAGTTTTACATACAATATTTTATTAGCAGTCTTATTTCTTCAGAGCATCTAACTTTATAGCCACACACGCTGCACCACCCTCCGCCCTGCTGGGTTGTTTTGTTTTGGTTTTTGTCACATTCTAATTGAGCTGGTATTTGCTGAAAGACTTAGTGGGTTCTGACTACACTTTACCAACTGCTCTGCAGGCATGAGGTGAGGGAATTTTCTCTTTCCTTCTTGCAGTAAAGGAAGATTGACGATTTCGAAACACCACAGATAATACTATGAGATACATACCCGGATCGAGCTGGCACGTGCCCTCGTGTGTGTGCACACGTGTGTGCATGCACACACTCATAGGCGCGCGCACACACACACACACGCGCGCGCGCGCACACACACACACACACACACACACACACACACACACACACACACACACACCAGCCCCTCTTGGGCCCCAGCCAGCCCACTGGTACACTGAGTTAAGAAGCTAAGGCTGAGCAAAGGCAGAGGAAGGCACCTCTCCACTGAGACAGGGGGGTAAGAAGCTGGGCCCCCAGGCCAGCTCGGGACAACCCTACGCCAGGCAATTGAGGAAAGGGGCACAGGCTACCCCCCATCTCAGCTGTCCGTTTGGTGACAGCAAGTCCAGAGCTAACTTAGTATTGCACTTCAGACCTTGCAAAGCGTTTTCATGTACATTTGCACACTAGGAACGGGAGGCAATACGGCAAAACAAAAAACAGAGAATTTGGGGTCAGACTTGGGCCCTTTCCCGGCCCTGGACCCGGGGCCTCACGGACCCTCTCCAGCCTCGGCACCCTGCAGAACAAGATCCTCTCCGGCCTGCCAGCACTGGAGGGCGAGCCCGCTCTGAGCTCCAAGCCTCTGTGCCTGGGCCACATCAAGCACGCAGGGATGGGTCAACACACGTCTGCTGAGTGAGTAAGTGAACAGAGGCGTTGGTAAGGGATCCAGCCAGCTCCCGGGCCACCCAGCAAGGAAGGATGCTCGGGGCACTGAGGCCCAAGCCGTTCTCTCCTCAGTGAACACACCGGAGGGCTTTCTACCCCGTGGATTCAGCCTGCCCCTGACCTCCTGGCAGTGCCTTTCTTAGGTGGGAAAATGACCTTTTTGTGGGTCTCCAGGATGAGTTTTTACCTAAAAGCTTAAGTCCTATTTCTTGATTCTGAAGCACCTCCCCACAAGGTGACTTAATCAGATTCCAGCATCTTCTATGTAAAATGTTTACCTGATTTCTTTCCTTCCCATGTCACCCACACAGGAGCTTTTGAAGCATTTAATTCTCGAGCTGATACCCAGCAAGGGTAGAAGAAACGGAGGCACAAAATGCTATGAACGTGGACAGAGGCGCACGGCTCCCGAGACAGGGCTGGTCAGCAGACCCAGGCCCTGACGCCTCCGCGGAGCGGGCACTAGAGCACAGCGGAGGCCCTTCCTCTACCCAGTTCCATGTAACAGTGATATTCTTTGGACTTCCACTTTCTTCTCTACTAACAACTGCAAAGGCTGCACATCGTTCACCCGATGTTTCCTCCATCCTTCGAAACAAAGAAGCACAATCAGACGAAAGGAAGATCAGTCATTACATTCAGAAATTACTTAAAAGAAGGAGGTTTGGGAAGTCGGCCTGGTTTAAATTCCAGTGTATGAAAGACAGCACGTCACCGCCCCCCCCGCCCCCCCCCCCCCAGCCACACTGGCCTTCCTGCCTCAGGGCCTTTGCCCATGCTATTCCCTCCAGCTGGAATACTCTACTCTCCACTCAGCACTCAATTCCGGACCTCAATTCAAATAGGCCTTTCCTTTCCCCTAAAAGAAGCCTTTCCTGAACCCACAATCTGAAGCAGGTCCCCCCCCCCACTTCTTAACGACACCTACTTAGAAAAATAAAATCAACAAGTTACTTGCATGTTTTCTTGGGCCATGGCAATAAGGTGTTTTATCAACCTTCCCTACAGCAAAAAGCAGAGGGGAAATCCAAATTGCAGCGTCTGGGTCTATGCTGCCGAGGGTTTAGGATGAGAAAGCTGGAGCGAGGGGGCATCGCTGACACTTGAAGACTGATGAAAGCAGCTTCCTAGGTCGACATCCTCACTGGACCTGGCTTCAGGTCCTCCTAATCAGATTATCCTGCGGTGCTGACCTCAGTGTACTCACTGCACTCCAGGTAGCATCCTTTAAAAAATACCCGTGTGCATGTCCTTCTTGGGCTCACAGACCCACGACTGGAAGGACTCACCTGGAGGGAAAAATCTTTCAACACTGGCCTCAGCTGATGTAATTCTGAGGCATGGTCCAGGACTTTTCCTATTCCCAACTCTCTATTTCACCAGGCTGTTCCCATGTGTGACTTCCTACGTGTGACATTCGTACAGGCAAGTCTATCTTGAAACTGAATAAAGACTTTTTATAAAGGCTAAGTTTGACCCTGGTTAAGTAACTTAATCTGGAAGGCAACGCCACATTGGTGTAAAACAGGCAAACGTAAAATTACATTTAAAATACCTCAATTGTGTTTACTAAAAGGGATCTAAGGGTGAAAAAGAGGCCTCTAAGCACTTGCAAATCAAATCCATGTGAGTAAAATTTTAAAAGTTCTGGAACACAACCTAGGAATCTCAGAACCTTTCAGAGCGGAACATGACCTTGAGGACGATCTTGTGCTGCTCTTTACAGGTGGGGAAACTGAGGCTCAGGGAGATGAATGAATCTGTCCACAAAAAATACAGTCTTTCCTTAGGAGACCCTGATTCCAGGTTCACGTCATTCTAGAAGGGGAAAGCGATTCCATTTTCCTTCCGAGGACCTTCTTTGGCCAGACTCCCCTTCCACACTGGGGTCATACTGCCGCCAACAAGCACACGGGCGCCCGCCATGAATTCAAAGGCCGTTTACCCTGCAGATGTGCCCACTGCTCCTGTGCTAGAGGGATTTTATTTATGTGACTGTATCATTGGAAAGGAGTTTCTGGTCTGGAAAGGCTATGCTAGCCCGGCGCTGAGAAGGTGAAGGTACTGCTGAGATGCCATGGAAACCAGATGTGGGAGACGGAGTCTCCCACGGCTCTCAGTGCGTGATTTGATGGAGTTCCAGACGCTTCGGCCACACTAAGTCTTCGCCAGTTTCTGGCAAAGGCCTTGGATTCTCAGGAAATCTCAGCGTCTTCCCTCCTGTGCTGTTAGCGCATCTTTTGCGGGGCTACACCTGCAGATACCACAACGTTCACACCTGGAGTTTCTCTAAGCCCAGCTTCCCCAGGTTCAGTGGAGGTAGTAGATGTGATATGTCAGGGAAGAGAAATGTTTGTAAAAAATCAACAGGATTGATTTTCTAGAATTTTTTTTTAGGCAAAATTAAGGTGCTTGGAAAGTTAGAAAGAAAAAAAACCAATATATTTTGCTTAAAGTAAGAAGCACGGGGAAAATAAAAGACTTTGAAAGAGATGGCCAATTTCACCTTACAACTTTCTGTGTAACTTTAAAAGATTTCCACACGGCTTAGTGCGAACGGTTCCAAGGTCACCCTTCAACCTGGAGCCGCCTTTCGTATCTTTCCCAAGTTCCGTCTGTAAATGAGACCAGCTCAGCGATCAAGTCAAACCCCTCTCATCTCTAAACAAAGTATATTTACCCTGAATAATTTTCTTCATCAAGTACTAAAAAGGTACAGTTTCTGGAAATGAATGAAATTTACCGACTTTTGGCTTGGAAAATGACCTCATTGGAAAAAGAGACAAACCGTAGAAAGGTGAAACTACGAAAACACCAGTCACAGAATGGAATCGCTCCTGGCTTCACCTTTCTGCCCCTGGACGTCTGACTGCACAGGGATCCCCAGGAAGCTGCCTGAATCCCCGGTGCAGGACCAGAGCTCCCTGGTCAGAAGGAAGAATTTTGCCGAGGAACCCTCTTGTCACCAGCTTTGTTGCAGTTTTAAATTCTGCCTCAGGGGTGGTATTTTAAAACCCTGCACGTGGAAAAAAAACCTTTCTACATCATCTTCTTAGTTACAGCTAGAAAGGGTAATGGAGAGAAGGCCCAACCCAGCGGGGCGGCGATGTCCATCCAGCACTGGATGCCCAACAACCAAACGTGGTCCCAGGGGTTGGGTCACAGGAGTGTCTGTGTCCTCGGGCCCGGGCTTGCTGCAGGTTCTGCAAGTGGCCCTTGGCCACTGTGTCCAATTTTCCTCTCTCTGGCTTTCCAGTGCTTTACCTCTCTGCCCGGATTTTGTATCTCAGCACAAAGTAGGCAATGAGACGCAGGGAGATGAAGAAAATCCCCAGGACAATAAAGTCCAGGTAGAGCTTGGCGTTCTCCACGTCCAGCTCTCTGAGAATGGCCTCCGACTTCTGGAAGTGGCACGTATCATCGATGTCACAGTGCAGGTCCTCGCGGTCGAGGCCATAGATGGAGAGGATGACCCCTTCAAACCCATATCTGAGGAAGGAAGTGCCAGCGTGAGGAGGGCTCAGGAACCCTCCCCCCTGCCTCTGCCCACGTCTGCGGAGGGTAAGGTACCAGCACCATCCCCCCATCCTCAGCCTGGCTCCCCTCCCTCCGCGGAGATCTTTCTCCCTGGAACACTTCCTAACGACTCCACAGCTTCCTCAGATAAATCCATTCAACGGCTTGACGTTGTGTTTTGCAATTTTGGTTCCTCCAAAGTCTCAACGAAAAAAAAAACACACCCAAAAAACCAAGAGTAGGTATTGTTCAGGGGTGATACGAATGGAAAAGCACTTTGATTACTTCTGAAATCATACTTTTTTTTAACAGTTAAATATAATAAAGGGTCCGATAGCTTTCCAAGGACTGGGGAGCATTTAAATAAAACATTTCTGCATCACCTTTCATTCTGTTCCAGCCCTGCATCATCAGAACAAAAACGCTAATTCTGAGAAGAAAGACACGGGTTTCTGATTTCTTGGTCTTGGAAGGTGCACCGATGGCTGAAACTCTGTACAAGTGCTTTGTTTTGATTTTGTTCTCCGGAACAATATACCTGGGTCTGAATTGACATTCTAGAAAAGACAAGCTTGTCCACAACTGGGGACCCTGGCTGTCACGTGGAATGGCTGTGGCTGGGGAGAAAAGCTCTAACGACCAGCCTCTCCTGCCGAGGGCCAATGTGCCGAAGCACCTCTGAGTTGAGAGCGTGAAATCTGATCGCCTAAGTGCTGAGGCACCAGAAATGTCTTGTTCAAGAATATTAGGGTGCTTGAAACATGACCTGTTTGCCACTGGATTTCTTATTAAGGTTTTACGATTTCAGAACCTTGCTCATCCCAGAGAGGAATGAAGTTCCTAACAGATGGAAATATGCAAGGCAGCTCTCCAAAGCACGCAGGACACGGAGCCACGAGTATGCGTGTGTGTGTGGCATGCACAACTAGGAGAAAAACAAAAGGTACCGATGCTCTTTGGGTTCACGATCCAAGAAACATGCCGTCATCTAGCTGACAGTGAACAAGGGGCTTTTGTGAGCCTCTGCACGTCCCCAAGTCCCTGCCCTCTGTCGTCCTAAAGTCCCTGAGTCGTAAGGTGCCCCCGCATGTACCTGACATAGGAAATGTAGGACATCCACTGCAGGTAGGTGGGGATTGTGTCGAAGCTGACGAAGAATCCTGAGAAGAGGAGGACGGGGACGGCCGTGACGGGGCCCACGAAGGTTGCCACCTGAGAGGAGACACAAAGGGGACTTACTCCCACCTTACACCCTCCCCAGGTGGCCCGGAGGCCACAGCCCATGTTTCTGGACGGTCGCCAGCAGCTGGCAAAGGGCCAGAGACTTCAGGACGGGTCACACCAGGGCCAGGACGGCGCAGAGAAGCACCCTGTTTGGGGAGCGAGCTGGCTGATCTCTGGCACAGGGAGGGGCTGGGGCTTGTGCCCAGAGGCCCAGCAGAGGGGACAGAAGGTAAGAAAGAGTAGAAACCCCACAGAGCAGGGGTAGCACGATGCTGGACATGTGGCTTTGAGGGCGTTTGGCTGGGAGAGAGGCACAGCGTCCCAGGACCTGATGTCAGCGTGTTCCAGGGAGGAAGGGTCGGGAGTGCGATTCCCTGGGTGCTGACTGCAGCTGGCGTGGGCCGAGCACTTTCTACGGCTCGGCTGTGGGGTGGATGCCATCGCTATTCCCATCCACAGATGAGAGTACCGCCCAGAGGCTCTGAACACAGAAAGGAGTCCATCACACGCCGGAGAGGGGGGCGTCAGAAGGCCACGGTGGTGCTGACGCCCCAGGCTTCTGGCTTTGTCTTCTAAGGGTCGGACTGGCCTGAGCACCAGGAAGCCCCAGAGGCGCAGAAACTGCAAACGCAGCAGGTTTGGCAGGTCGGGGGTGGGTGGTACCAGGCATCCAGAAGGGACACCTGGAGGGGCTCAGGAGGGTGGGAGCATGGGGTGCAAAGGCAGGTGTCTAGGGGAAAGCTAAGTGGATCCCGCAGAGGCAACAAAACATAAGCATTGAGAGCTTGGCCTCTGAGCCGGCTGTGTGACTCTGACAAAATCACGTTGCCCCTCTGGGCCTTAGTCTCCCCATCTGTGAAATGGGGAGCATTGCACGTAACTCATGGGTGTGCTTGGACTCGATGAGCTGATGTTCAGAAAGCACTGAGACCAGCACCTGGTGTGCCCCAAGCTCCACACAAGGGCACCTGCTGCTGTCAATCTGCCCATCCTGAGAAGCCAGTACCACTCGATCCCTTCCCTGGGGGTCAATCGACCTACTGAAGCCAGACTAAGAACTTGGGGCAGAATCAGGAGGAGGGTCACAAGGAGGGGGTGCTGAGCCCCACCAGAGCCACAGCCCCGGTCTCACGGGCCAGGGTGGAGAAGCGAGGCCTGTCCTGTGGTGTGTCCTCGGCCGATACCTGCAGGGATGTGGAGGCGGCTCCGATCAGCAGGCCCAGAGACTGCGCCACCAGCGAGGTCATGGTGCCCAGTGCCGCGAAGAGGACGAAGCGCACGGCGTCGGACGGCTGGGACGTCATCCAGTACACGATGCTGCAGTAGGCCACGGGGAACATGATCTGGAAACACAGGGCCTGTCACCCTCTCCTGGAAGCCGTACTTTCCTCTCCCCCACTGGGGGTACTGGAGAACCCCTGCCCTTCCTCACATCATGCCACTGTCACTCACATACCTGAAAGGGCACGTCAGCCATGGTCTTGGCCAGGTAGTAGGCCTTCAGGCTGTACCAGTAATTCAGGTGTTCTCGAAGAAACACTCCCATCTCCAGGGGAACTAGGGGACGGGAAAATGGGAAGGGTCAGGCAGACATCACAGTGGGGTCACCACCTCAAACAGGCGGCCTCAGGCTTCCCTGGTGGTGCAGTGGTTGAGGGTCCGCCTGCCCATGCAGGGGACGCGGGTTCGTGCCCCGGTCCGGGAAGATCGCACGTGCCGCGGAGCGGCTGGGCCCGTGAGCCATGGCCGCTGAGCCTGCGCGTCTGGAGCCTGCGCTCCGCAGCGGGAGAGGCCACAACAGTGAGAGGCCCGCGTACCGCAAAAACAAACAAACAAACAAACAAAACAAAACAGGTGGTCTCCTGCCGAGCCCTCTGTAGCCCCAACCTGTCCTACACCTCCCTGTGGACCATGCAGTACTTACAAAGTACCTGAAGGTTGAATGGAAAGGTGTGAAATGATTTACCCGTCTGGAAAAACTGCCAATCATTTTTATAACGGAAGCATCATGAAGTGGAGAATCCAAGTGCAGAGCATCACTGAAGTGATGGGTACAAATGTCTACGGTTGCCCTTATTTTCACTGAGTAACTGTAACAATGTGATTCCCTTCCTGGACAAGACCTCGCAAACTGCTCTTGGAAATTCAGGGCAATTTAAGGAGGAGGCATTGCCGGGAGGGGGTATTTAGGTGTTGTCGGGAGGGGGTATTTAGGTGTTGCCGGGAGCGGGTGTTTAGGTGTTGCCGGGAGGGGGTGTTTAGGCTGGAGAGCTGGTGAAGCAACAGCTTTCTACACTGTCTCCCTGAAGGGGCCAAGGGCAGCCTACTTTGCAAATAGTCTAGAATTGCGTGGAAATCCACCTAGAATAGCTTTACCCACTCACACACTTGGCCGCACCAGGGCTGTCTTAACTGAACGAGGTAATGCTCATGCACTAGTGTTTAAGGGGATCCTGATTAGAAAACCTTTTAAAAATGTCTCTTCAGCCTTCCACCAGGCTTACAAGACTTCCTAGTGGCTCATTCCTTTGGCTTAAATATAGTATGTATTTTCTTGTCTAACAGAAAATACAATAATACCTACATCTGTCAACGAAGAAAACGGTATTTAAAAACACAAGACGCTATGTGTTCGTGGCCAAGCCAGCCACGGCCTCAGTGGCAGATAAGGAGGGAGAGGTGGGCACGGGGTCCGCCAGGCACTCACACGTGAGGACGGTGGGCATGAGGGCTGCGAACATGAGGAAAAGCATGGAGAAGAAAAGGAAGCCGGAGTTGCTCAGGACCTTCTTGGCTTCATTCCCGATCCCCAAGTACAGCAGCCCAATGAGGAGGCCGATGCCAATGTGGGAAGTGATCCGCAGGTGCGTCAGGACCTGGGGACAGACGTGGTTCACACTCAGGTGTAAAGAAGTCCGAAGGTGGACAGTGAAAGAACAAGGCGGCCAAGGCCCCCAGAGGCGGCGGCCAAGGCGGGTCACAAGCTCTGTCCTGCCCCTTCCCTGCACGAAACAAGCCCCCGACCCTAAACCAGCACACGTGCGTGCGTGCCCACACACACACACAAACACACACACACACATGGCAGCATTTTACCACTGTTAAAACAGAAAGAATTGCTATCCTTTGTGAAATCCCCTTCAAAGCGGCAAACCAGGGAGGGCAGTGTACCTTCAGAGGGGAGGACAAGGGACAACGATGGTGGTGAAGGGTGCAAAGAATGGATACATGACAGGCCCACCCTCGCAGAGCTCCGCCTGGTGGCTACCAGCCCCTACATCTTTCAAACTGGGTCCCAGAGGCCCCTGGGCACTCAGCCCCCTACACAGGTTGTCAGATCATCCACTCGAAAGGGTGGATCTTGCCATGGTTCCCAATCCTTCACCAACTCCTTCCTATAAGTGTCTGCACAACCCGCCATGCCCTGTGCCAGACGGAGCTTTCCGGAGGGAGGAACACACTCCCCGACATCAGCCTTGGCCAACGGAATGTGAACACCAGTGACCGTTTCCCTCCAGGAGCCAGAGCTGTAAGGGTTGCCATTTGGTTTCTCCTGCACTTTCCCTCTGCCATGTTCCAGAAAGGAGCCGGTCCTCCATTCTGGGTTCCAGGACGAGAAGACTCGTGGGGCAAGGCCATGGCCCACTACACATTACACGAACCAGACATAAGTATTTACTGTCCCAGCCACTGGCATCTGGGGAGTGTTTGTTACTACCGCTTCACAGGGAGCTGACGGATGCAGGTGGAAGAACAGTCTGAAAGCGCAAAAGCAGGATGAAAAACCTGAAGGTGACCCGACAGCTTCCTTTGCCACGGAGACCGCCTTACCGAATCCCTCATGATGCTGAGGAAAGTCCTTTTGAAGAGGATGCAGAACTGGGTGAGGCAGCTGGCAGAGAAGCTGTGACAGCCTTCCGTGGAAGTGGAGTCCTGAGGACACACCAAGGAGGGGGGAGGGGTGAGACCCCAGCCCTGGGGCGCCTCCCCTCTCGGCTAAGAAAAGTTCTCACGCAGCGGGCGCACGAGGGGGTGTGCAGCGCTGCTGGGGGCTGGGGCTTTGCATTACCTTTTTCCACCCCTTCAATCGTTTTGCCTGCTTTACCTCTTCAGAGGGCCGGTGCCAAAGAAAAGGGTTCACCTCGCCATCACCTCCGGGCTCTCTCCTGTAGTCAGAGTCACACATGCCCTCCCGGACGGCTCTCGCCAGGCGGCCGTTCTGATCTCCATATTCACCGGACGCGACTTCCATGACTGCACCATAAGACACAGACAGGGTCACCCTAGGCATCGCTCATGTGAACGGTGGGCCTCTTTGCTTTGCGACAAAATCATTAATCTAGCAGGAATATTTTTAACTGATTATGTAGATGCTGTATGATGATGCTAACGATATGATAAAAATCATTTAGTGACCAATGTTCTTTTGGCTCTAAACACCCAGGCAAGGCCATTTACCATGTCAGGAGCCTGAACACGCAAATACAGATTGTGATGCTGGAGAGCCCGGGACGCCATGAGCTCAGGCATCTGTTAACTTATTCATCTGTCCAATATGCACTGAGTGTCGGCCATGGGCATTCAAGCCCCAGAGCTGGAGCTGGAAGGAGGGCAGAAGCAAGCAGGAGTCCTGCTGGGAAGGCAGTTCCCAGGGCGGGGCTGAGTGACGGGTGCTGTGGCAGCTCTCTGGGACCAAGAAGTGCCAGGGGTCCTGAGGGAGGTGCGCTCGGCATCCTGGGCATGTCGAGATCATGGACCACCAGCCCCGCCTCTCAGATCCCCAGGGACCATCTCCTCCACCTTCCTTCCTTGGCCCCGGTGTCATGCCTCTGCACCCCAGACTGTCCAAGGCGCCCCCGCTGCCCCTTCTCTCCTGGGTCCACACTCCCCCCGGCGACCGCTGTTCCTTCCTGCCCCCCCACCTGCCCTATCCTCTCCCCCATCCTGTCCCTCCTGGTGTGGGTCCCAGCCCCTCACCCGAATAAGATTCTTGCTAATGCAAAGCCCGCAGGGCCCCCCCCCCCCGCCCCCGCCGCACCGCACTCTGGCAAAACCAGCCGTCTGTTTCCTGAGCCGGGGTGGCTAAGCCATCCTCCATCTGGTCACACACCAGGAGAGGTTGTCCTCACCAGAACGTCATGACCAATGACACCAAATGAGCCAGCACTGACCATTCTGCTGGTCACTCACACCCACTACCCTCCAAACGGCCACTCTCTCGTCATCTCTCACCCTCTCCTCAGGTGTGATACTGAGGGTCTAGAAGCCACTGGAAGGGCACACCGTCCCCTTCTTGGGTCCTCCTTTCAGTCCCATGTGCTCTGTCCCTTCTCCTGTCATCTTCCTCTCTAGGTTCTCACCTCTTCACAGGCCACGGACCTCACTGCCCTTCCCTGTGCAGCAGCGCCTGTCCCCGACCGTCCCCTCTCCTGAACGACTGGGCAGCTATCAACCTGATCCATCCCTGCTTTTAAAGATGCTCAAGCCTCCTCTTCCTCTCCCTCGGCCCTCACGTCCTTCCAGCTCATGGCACTCTGGTTCTGCTTCGTCAGAGCCCCTTCTTTTAAGAGAGAAGCATTTCCCAGCAACAGCGTCTTGTGCAACACTATTTGGGAGGTGACATGTAGAGAATGTGGGGTCTGGATGCTTGAGGGTAAAACAACTGAGTGAGAAAGCCCGGTGACCAGGAGACCAAGGAGGCGAATTATGGTGGATTGAAGGGTGTCCCCCCAAATTCATGTCCACCTGGAACCTCAGAATGTGGCCTTATTTGGAGAAGGTTCTTTGCAGATGTAATTTTCTGGTTATGGATCTTGAGATGAAATTATCCTGGATTTAGGATGGGCCCTGAATCCAAAGACTGCCCTTATAGTAAGAGGAGAGGACACACAGAGACACACAGACAAACACAGAAAAAGAGCCGTGTGAAGACAAGGGGCAGAAAGTGGAGGGATGCAGCCACAAGCCAAGGAATGCTGGAGCCTTCCAAAAGCTGGAAGAGGCAAGGAAGGACCCTCCCCCGGAGCCTTAGGAGGGAGCCTGGCCCTGTAGACACCTTGACTTCTGGCCTCCAGAGCCGTGATCAAATGAAATTTCTCTCGTTTTAGGCCACCCAGTTCATGGTGCTTTGTTATAGCAGTGCCAGGAAAGCAGGATGCGATGGCCAGGAAGGGACCCCAGATACAGTGGCAGAGGGAGAGAACAGGACTGGGCCGGGCTGTTTTGGCACTTGGTGGTCTAGTAAGTGTGAGCTCGAGAGAAAGAGAAGGTGAGGGGGGCGGTGCAAGGTCTCCCACTTGGAGAGCAGGGTGAGGAAGGGCAGATCTGACAGGAGGACGAGGGAGGCGTGGGACTTGAAGAGGCTGCCATTTGCAGGTAAACGTGTGTGCCGCACAGTGGGCAGATCTGGTGGGAAAGTGACTTCAGACGTGTTGTCAGTGCTCTGGAGGGCCTGGGCTAAGAGGGGAGGCCAGAGCAGGAACCCCGGGGGCACCGGAGGTGGAGCCCATAAATCACAAGCTGCAAAGCACGGAAGTGCCAGCCTCAGGACCTCCGAGTCAGGAGAAGTAACTCGGACCATTAGCCTGGTTTCTGGACTCCCAGGGTCACATTTTCTGTTGGGTTTGGTCAAAATTTAAATCAGCATTTCAACATCTCCGTTAATCAAGGCAAAACGTTTTTTTTCTAAGGTGATTTCTTTTCAGAAATAACTTCCTTTAGACTAGAAACATCACAGAGTAAAGTATGAGGAAATATTTCTCCTAACAATAGATCCCTTGTAGTTCCCACGTATTTTATCTGGAGGAAACAAAACCTCTTTTGACGTGGTCTTTAAAGATCTAACTCAGGATGGCACTTGAGTTTTCTGTGGAATATTCGAGTAATTCTTGATTTGGAGGCTTCAGGTAAAAGCGGAAACCCACCAAGAATAAAAAAGACCCCCTTTCTTTTCTTTCTGGCTGGTCATGGCTCTACTTACCAAAATCGGCCGGGTTGTGGTAGGTTGGGCAATTCAGACCTAAATCCCTCAAATATGGTACAAGATTTGAGACTTTTCCCCGGTACACACACTGTCCTTGACTGAGGACATAAAGCTGGAAAAAAGTACGGAGAAGGGAAACATCAACTCCGCCTTCCTCTAAAGCAAGAGACACTCTCAATCCATCCATCCATCCATCCATCCATCCTTCCATCCATCCATCCAACCACCCACACATTCATCCAGCCATTCATCCACCCATCCATCCATCCAACCACCCACACATTCATCCATCCATCCATCCATCCATCCATCAATCCATCAATTTCTCTCTCAGGAGAGCTTTATGTTACCTCCCAAGGACTCAAAGTTCAAAGGGAAATCCATGATAAGTCAGGGAAAACAGAGGATATCATATGACCAGGAATTATTATTATGCTGCTTTTCCCCTTCATGCTAACCACCTGCTTAGGAAAGATTTTGGAGCTATACACATTTCATTCCTTGGGACGTTCTTTTTGCTCATGATAGTAGCAAAACCTAAGATTCATAAAGCAGATGATATTGTCCAGATATCACAACCTGCTATCTAATTCTGTACGGCAAGTACTCCCCCACTGTCACCGGAAGGTGGGGAATGAAGCCTCAGTAACGTCAGTGACTCGCCCAAGACCCCGTAGCTGGACACCAGCCCCAGAGAGAGGATACTGGCCAACTCTCCTACCCGCTCCGGTCCTGCCACCTGAGCTGCTTATGGAGCCAAAGTCTTAAGAAACATAACACTTAAAGCCACTCAGAAAGACGTTGAGGTGAAGACACGCCAATGAACTAAGGGGAAGCCGTGAGTACCGGGATTTGGTTTCACCGGGGCTGATCACAGCAAGGTGTACGCACCTGGTCGAACAGCTCAAAGAGCTTGGCGCTGGGCTGGTGGATGGTGCAGATGATGGACCGCCCCCCCTGAGCCAGCCCCTTCATCAGGGAGACCACCTGGAAGCAGGAGGCGCTGTCCAGGCCGCTGCAAGGCAAGGGGCACCGTGAGACGCCTGTGGTCCCCAACCAGACCCCGCATTCAGAGTGTCCCAGCTGGGTCTGCATAGGGAGGGGAGGGGATTCAGGAGGTATCCCCTCCTGCCGGCAGGGAGGGCAGGGGTCCTGCCTCGATGGCTCCTGCTTACCTGGTGGGCTCATCAAAGAACATGACTGGAGGGTTGTTCACCAGCTCCAGCGCGATGGCCAGGCGCTTCCTCTGGCCGCCCGAGAGGCTGCCGGTCCGCGTGTTGGTGCAAGACAGCAGGCCCAGGGCCGTCAGGATCTCCTTGACCTGGGAGACAGTGAAGCCAGAGTGGCATCAGGGACCACCTGCCCCCTAGCCGCCTACAGGGAACCCCCAGCTGCCTCTCCAAGCCCACTTGCACGCCTGCCCTTTGCCAAGGCAGCAGACACTCGGCAAGTGTGAGCCCAGGAGGCTGAGAGGCAGGGCTTGGGCCAGGCCGTCCCGGGTTGGGGTCCTGGTCCTGCCCCCTGCCGGTCACCCGTCAAGTCCCTTCATTTGTAAGCCTCGCTCAGGGCCCAGGTCAGGGAAGATGTTGGATAAACACTGCAGAAAGTGTGGATCAGTGAACACATAGGTGGACGAGTGACCAGATGTCTGACCAGAACAAAGGGGAGGGCCACCCTGATGGTCTGATACAATACAGTAAGTCCCCTACATATGAACCTTCAAGCTGCGAACTTTCAAAGACGCAAACGTGCCCCTGTGTGCCAGCTGTTATACTGTACTATGGTACTTTTCGAGGTACTGTACTGTGATATCTAAAATGTTTTATTTTTTGTGTGTGTTTGTTTTTTATGAATTATTTCTGTGAAAAGTATTATAAACCTATTACAGTACCGTACCATATAGATGATCGTGTTGGTTGGGTACCTAGGCTAACTTTGTCAGACTTATGAACAGATTGGACTTACGAACGTGCTCTCGGAACAGAACTCGTTCATAAGTAGGGGACTCAGTGCAGTGGATAAGATGCTTGGCACCCAGTAAGCATTTACTCGAAGGCATCTATTAGTGACACCGTTACTAGTGTACACAGCTCCTGTAGACACAATCAAGCAGGCCAGGCCTCTCGGAAAGAAGGGGTGAAGCCCCTTTCACACTTGTAAACAGGCAGAGAACGTCTCTGATTCAGCAGCAAGGCGAGGAAACTGATTAAAGCTGTCCCCACCTCCCTCAGCGGCCCTGCCGATGCCACCCTGGAAGCAGCCTGGGCACCAAGATATAAACGGCCCGCTGTGCACTGAGCCTTTCCCGGCTGTTCCCGCCCAATCATTGATGTGGTATCGACGTGGGGGGCAGGAAAGGTCAGCGGACTTCGGTTCAGCGTTCAGGGTCCATCCCAGCATCTTGCCAGGGGCAGTGGCCCTCCCTGCCTCCAACTCCAGGTTCACCTCTCGGGGGACAGCCTGCCACGGAGACCCTGCCAGCATCCACTGGGTCATCGTCCCAGCTCCTGGCGGCAGCAGGGGGACCCCGGTCCGGCAGTTTCTCTGGGGAGATGAGGTCATCCAAAAGGAGAAGAAACTCACAAGGAAGAACATTTCCACCACAGCTCTTGAATTACTTGCACGGTCAGGACAAAAGGTGGCTTTGGTGACGGGAAGGGTCAGGGGATAGCGATTCCACGGGCTGGGAAGCAGGCAGGTCAGACGGACATGGGTTTGAATCCTGCTTGGTCTCTCCCTTGCTGAGTCCTAACCCAGCTCCGCTGCCTCTTCCCTGGAAGGCAGGTCAGCGTGGTCGCCCAGAAAAGGCCATCTTTCAGGCACACTTTCCCTCACGTGGACCGTCTGCTGGCCTTCCCAGGACAACGTGGCTCCAGCGGTCCCCGGGAACCCAGGCGGAAGGTGCAGAACAAAGACCACACAACCCCACCTGCCCTCAGCCCCACCAGAAGGATGCTGGAGGTGGAGGTCAAGGTAAGTCCCTCCCATTTCCGCCCTGTGCCGGCCTCTGGTCCTCGGTTCTCAAGAGTGACGCCCTGGAGGCTGGTTTTGTTTTAAAATCAATCAGAAAGAACAATGTTCCGGCCTTGGGAGAACTGGCTCCTGAGGAAGGCTCCTCGCTGGGGGTTCTCAAGGGTTGAGGCTGCTTTTCTGGGAAATGAGGGAGGTGGGCAACATTCTACCAACTGCTGGAACATTCCATTCTATTGTGTTTCCTCAAGAAGTAAACAACCAGGACCTAGGTACACACAGGAGCTGGAGGGAAATGAGTCCTCAGCAGCAGTCCTCTGCTTAGACAGTCACACAGTCCATTAGGGTTAGGGTTAGCTAAGTTGAGTTTCCCTCAGACAATGCGTAAACATAAAGAGATGTGTAAATATAAACCAGGCCTCCCCACTAAGTGGGGCTTTCTGGCGCTCCCTGCGGGGTCTGCTTACCCAACACCCTTGTGCTCCCTGGGGTTTTAGGGAAGCAGAAAAAAGCAATGAAAAGGATTAGGAGATCTCCATCATCCCAGAAACTTGTTTGTGCTATCCTTAAAAGGCTGATTAGTAACACATAAGAACCCAATTTCTCCTTGCAAATGTGTCGGGGTGGACTCTGGTTATTTTTAAATGAATGATTAACTATCTTCATTGTTGGTGTTTTATAAACAAACAAAAAAAACAATGGAGCATAACGTGTATTAAACACTGAAAGGGCAGAGCGCTGGGTCTAACCCTGAGGCTGGGTCCTCACGCCGCTGTCCTGCACATCCTCACTGCGTCTGTGTGTCTGCGTCTGAGAGTCCCTGGCGGCGCGGTCACTCCGGGTATGTGCCAGCCCAGGCGCACACCGCGATGCCACCGTCACCCACACGAGGACAGCCGGGGCCAAGCCACAAACTCAACCAGCCCCCAAAGGCCCCTCCATGCATGTGCGCTGAGTGGATTTCAGGCAATTCTGGAGCACCTGTGGCCCAAGCAGACACACTCACCATCTCCCTTCTCCCTTCGTCCTTGTCTTGGAGTTTCAGATGCGCAGACACCTGCAGGGGACGAAGGTGACAGTGTGGAATCAGAACAGGTGGCCGGCAACAGCACAGACTCACTCAGCGACCGCAGGCCCAGTGCCCCAGGGGGCTGAGCCACCAGACGACGGAGGAAATCCTCAGAGGTCTGGGCTTCCCACCTTCCTTGGTTAACTAAGGTAGGTCCAGGAGAGCAGCGATGCCTGGGATGCATCCTGTTACCTCAGGGGATTCTCTGCTGTGCCCCGAGGGAAGTTAGAGAGATGAGGAATCCCCAGGCGTCGAGGGCTTGAAGCCCACTGGTGCTTATTCGGGAATTTCACAAGCCACCTGCTAAACCACTGATAGCTTATAATTATCCACAGCAGAGTATTTATGCCACAGAAATTGGTAAGTGGTACATATAAGAACTCCAGTTTTGTTGTTACTGTTGTTTTGTTTTGTTTTGATCAAAATCCTGCCTGCTAGCACACCGTGGGGCCCCTGACCCTGCCTGGTGAAATCCTGAGTAACCATCACCGTGCCCAGCATCAGCCTTGGTTCTTCTCTGCCAATGCCTGTGACCCTGGGAAGCAAGGATTTCAGCTTCCTCATCAGCACAGTGGTGAGGTTAGAACCTGCCCACCCGGTGAGCTAGTGAGGTTGTCCCGAGGCTCCATGAGAGACTAAGATGCAGGGGCGAGGGGCCAAAGGGCCACGGTCCCAGAGTCAGACAGGGCCAACCGCCTGCCATGTGACACCAAGTGTCACATCTTGGCCTGCCTGGTGGTGGCGGAGCAGCACATGGAAATGTACCACCAATGGCTGGTGGCCAATATCACCCCTCCACGTGGGACAGGACCCTGCAGAGTGAAAGGTACCCTTTCTCATTAACTCAGGTTAACTGTGTTTATCAAAGGAATCGTGAAATTCTCAAAATCAAAATCTAATTGATTTTAACTCTGAAAAACAAATGGATTTCACAGCAGAGCCTGGTGACAGGTTGGGGGAGGATGGAGGTGACAGCAGGAGTCACCAATCTTGTTTGCAAAAGAAAGTAGTGACTGAGCTGGAAATCAAAGTAAAGTTTCTCAGACAAGTAACCAAGGACTTCATGCAGTAACTCTGACAAGCGAAACTCTGGTCACCCCAGATGAAGGTGAAGTAACGATTAAGGAATCCACAGGGTCGGTAGAAATCTTGTATTTCCTAACTTTACCACCCTATTTTCAAACACCTCCTGAGCTCCCTGTGCCCCCATCAGTATGCCCACTTGGAGGCCAGAGTAGCTACATGGTCAGGGTGCCCGGTGCTCATGGCTGCTGGGGGAGCCCGTCAGAGGGCAGATCACGTACCTGACACCTTCCCTGCTTCTCTTTGCTCAGCTAAGGATCTCTTGGAATGGCCCTTCGGACAAGATGCGACACCACAGACAGGAAGCCTTGCACCATCTGAGTCAAGAGTGCAGGGCATGGGCTTCCCTGGTGGCACAGTGGTTGAGAGTCCGCCTGCCGATGCAGGGGACACGGGTTCGTGCCCCGGTCTGGGAGGATCCCACGTGGCGCGGAGCGGCTGGGCCCGTCCGGAGCCTCTGCTCCGCAACAGGAGAGGCCGCAACAGTGAGAGGCCCGCATACCACAAAAAAAAAAAAAAAAAAAAAAAAAA